GTTATATTTTTATTCAAATTTCAAATATCACGTTTAATTACCCAACCCCCTTTTCACAATAAAACAACTATTGTTCAACATTTGTGAAAGATGAAATCGTTTTGGTATTTGCTAGTTTTTCCGGGCTGCTGTTTCCATCTTTGATTTTTACCATTATCACCGTTCTATGCATACTTACATATCTGGGTTGTATAAATATATATATATATATATATATATATATATATATATATATATATATATATATATTATCATTGAGTCTTTAAAAGAGAGTTATGAGACGAATCTTGATTTCAAACATTTATTGTAAAATATTCGATGACTGCTCTGCTCTGAATTTACTGAAGAGACATCGAATTAAGTGCGTTGACAAGATTGCTTGTCAACGCACTTAATAATATATTTGTATAAAATAAACATTTTTCATCATTCAGTAAGATTTTATTTACACACACACACACACACACACATACATATATATGCGTGTGTGTGTGTGTGTGTGTGCATGGGATTTGAATATGGAATAGAATCCGACAGAATGATAATATAATGAACAAACAGAAAACATTTATAAATTTAACATGTTTCGCTTATATTTAATCTTTTTGTATTGTTTGTTTTCCATTGCTTAAGCGCAATTGCATTATTTTTTACCTCTTTTTCTTTTCTTTTGTTTTTTTTCCCCTTGTGGATGAGTCTATTATAATCGTATGTTCCACGCGTATATTTGGAACACGCGTACGAATGCAAGAAATAATTATTAAAATGCTTCCTTGATAGTCGTCTGCGATGAAACATCCTCTGTGGAAATATAGTATAGCACGTCAGGCTATGCAGTGGTTCCGTGTGGGATATAGGTTCGATTCCTCTTGGAAGACACAATCTTTTTTTTTTCTTTAAGATTTCTCGGATATTCAAGCTATTGTTAATACTGTTTATTGTAAGCAGAGCATTTACTTGAATATTTGTATCTGTAAAAACAACGTATAAGTAAAAAGTATATATATATATATATATATATATATATAGATATATATATATATATATGCGCACGCTTGTTTTGTCCAAGAAACATTTTTGTTTAAGATAGAAGACTAGATTGATTATTTATTTTTATTTATTTATATTGGAAGTTGAATATATTCTTAGAATCATTTTAGCTTCCTTTTTGCGATTCTTTTCTCTTAATATATAAATTATATCCTTTTAACATAAAAAAATCCCGTTGCTTATGTTACTTAAAATTGTAAAATACTGGTTTATTTATTAACAACACCTATCGTTCATGTTTTGTTTATAAATTAATGATTGCACTCTGGTATATTTATCGGAGTTACTTTCATTTTACATGATTTTATGACTGTAATATAATATGTAACAAATTCTGCATTGAAATATTTACTCTTTTTTTACATCAATATTTGTTATATAAATGATAAGTATTTGTACAAAGGTTTGAAGTTTCTCTTTAAAAGTAAAAATGAATTTAAAATCAGTGTGAATTTAAAATTAGTGTCACCAATCATTAATAGTTTTCAAATTTCTTTTAACGCAAAGAAAATCAAACAATTCATACACGGTTGTAAATAAAACTTCTTATTGTCTTATACAAATAAAGGAATAGATTTATATTCAAATCATTTATTACTTTAAACGTTATTGTTAATGGATAGCCGTATTTGAGTAGACGCCTCGTTTTATCTTAAACAGTATTTTATTACGTTTAACGGCCTGATCATAAAACAAGAAAAATTATCAAAGAAAATGCAACCTCCAGCAGGATTCGAAACATTTGCAAGTGAAACCACCGTTTGACCCGACGTTCTTTGATCTTACGGCTACGAAGACTTTCAAAATCAAGCAACGTTCGATTTGCCTTAAAAGCACAGTTTAATTTCAGATGTTCATTATAAAGGACGGCGAAGGTTCGAATCATTTTCTTTAATAAGTTTTCTCAAATGATCATGCCATAGGCGAAATAAAATACTGTTTAAAATAAAACAGAACGTCTAATCAAATACGGGTATCCTCTAAAAATAAAGTTTAGATTAATAAAAAAAATATGGCTGATTAAAAAATCTATGCATTATTTTTTTTAGAAATATATATATATATTTGTATGTGTGTGTGTGTGTGTATGTGAACCTGCGTCCCCTGTTGGTTGAACCGCCGTCTCATCCAGCGTACTTTAACTGTCGAGCTTGGAAGAGTCACACACAAGCAATGTTCTATTTTGTTATTAAACCAAACTTACTCGTTCAAACATTTCCCGGGACGCATATCGACCCAGTTTCTACCATTTGAAATAATAATAATAATATGTCGGAAAAAAATTCTTTAGAAATTACTTTTTTTCGCACACAATTCTGCGAAGATATGCGTTTGGAGAACAGGTTGAATAAATGAGTGTGCTGTAAAGTCAAGATAAAAATGTGCATTATTGTAAAACTCTTCATAGCCAAGCGGTCAAAGCACGATGGACCATAATTGCGCCCGCACGCGCGCGTGTGTGTGTGTGTTTTTTGTTGTTTTTTTTTGTTTTTTTTAAAGCGTTTCACCCCAAGCAAGGCTGGAAGCCACTTGGACGCAAGGGGTTACAGAAAATTTGGAGCAAGATCAGATAGGAGTGATAGAAGAAAGCATGAGGAGAAGGATAGTGGATAGATCAAGGCAACTGGAGATGTCCATTGACATTACATTTGAATAGCTGGAGATTATAGCTCTCAGGGAAACTAGAATAGGGAAGGGAGTTCCACAGGCGAGAGGTGCGAGACATGAAGCTATTGGAGTAGAAGAGACGGCTACATTTACGAGTTTCGACAGTGAAGGGGTGAGAGCGGGATGCCAGTCTCGTAGGGCGCTTGAACTCCTGAAGTCTGGGAACCAGCGAATGCAGCTCCTCGGAGCAATTGCCATGAAAGTATTTGTAAAACAGACAGAGAGAGGCGACGGCATGTCTGTGAGAAAGTGTCTGTAGACAAGAGTGTGTGCGTGTGTGTGTGTGTGTGTGTGTGTGTCGTCATCATGTTGCAAGGATAAGTGATGACAGAATATCAAAAGCCCTCATTTGTAGCCAGCTTGGCAATGGACAAAATACTGTTGGACGGCCGTGGCTCAGGTATAAACACAAACTAAAAACTAAACTGCCAATGTGCCTCATATTGACTTCGAGCGAGTTGTCAATGGATAGAAATAAATGGAGATATTTGTGCCAGAGTGGTATCAGACATTTTTAAATCAGTCGTATTGACCGGCTAAAATGACGAAAGACAACGGCGAAAAGCGTCAGCAAATATTCCTGTGGCTATGTCCCGAGATCCTCAGTGTTGCACAATACGTGGGCCTGTATGCAGGTCACTAGCGGGACTGAAGTATCACATGCGACACAAACGTAAAAACTTAATGAGGTTGTTGGATCTTCATACGTCGACTGACGAGTCCATCATTATCATCGTCATCATAATCATCATCGTCATATATATAAGAGAATTCAAAAAGAGATCCGGGATAGGTAGACGAAAATAAACAGCAGACATAGGAGAAAAAAAAGAAAGAAAGAAAGGAAGGAAAAAATAAAGAAGTTATCAATGAGAAAGAAAGAAAGAAAGAAAGAAAGAAAGAAAGAAAGTAAAGTAAAAGAAATTAAAAGAAAAGAAACTATTTCAAAAGATTTTAAAATTTCATGTCCCTAAATATTTCCGTTGAACGAAATTAACTTTTACGCTAATTGTTTAAGATGTGGAATTATCATTATTATCTGATTTTCCCTTTGGACGAGTCTCCTCATTGTGGTTGTTAAACTCTCCCGAACTTAGTCTCCTTGCAAAATAACATCACAAAAAAGTATGTGTATTCCATACCGTGCTGTTGTAGCAAGGAAAACAAGAAAATGAGAAGCTGTTTCCTAAAAATAAGTGTGAATGACCATTGAAAGTCTGTCTTCCGGGAAGACACAATGAAATCAGACATAGCTGATCATGTATAGCGTTAAAGGGAGAGATTATAAACATGTGGAATGAAGGCTAGTTAAGACTGAAAGAATCTGTACAAAACTTCCTCAGTAGACCTAGCGTAGTTATGAGCAGCATCTGAGAGGAACCGATTTGGAAAGAAAAGCCACTCATAAATGACACCATCTGAGTGTAGACATTATGCTTTAGACTAAAAATTTACACCACTGGATTTACCAATGCCTAATTGATTAAATCATTAATCGAAACAGACTTGGTTCTCTGGCAATTCAGAATAAAGTCCCTGGGTCAGATCACACGGAAAAGTCGTATACTGTAAGAAATAGCAAGCGTCACAAAAACAGACAGACTTGTAAGTATAGGCTGAATAAAGAGTGTAGATCAAAACACCGAGAAGTTTACCCAGTACGACAGACACCTGAAAACGCCCGGATGGTACAACGGCCGAAAAGTTGGGAATATAACAAACAAAATGAAGATACTCATCCTAATGGAAAGACATATGTTAACAAAGGTAATGTCGCGAATGTCGAGAAACAGCTTCCAAATCAAGTTAGAAAAACAGAAAGCAAACAATGAGAAACAAAATGAATTCAAATAAATCTTCGTCGGAAATAAAACTCCAAAATTAAAACTAATAAAATCACCAAAAGTTCCATATTTTTAGAAAGAGAAATGGTTTTCGGTGTTAAAAAGAAACACCTTATTCTACTCATTCCCCGGGTGTTTATAGTTTATACATTACTATCTCGAAGACATGGATTTGGCATTTTTGGAAGTAGAAAAATTCCTACTGTCTCCCGAGAGCAAAAAGAAAATGAAGTTCTGCAAGGCTCACATCCTCAGGCCCTGACCTCCTAACAAACAACAACAACCCATCCTCTTTCTACCAGTGTCGATGTTGCTCACCCTGAGGCTTTATGGGCGTTTTTCTTACTGTTCATTTCGCTTCAGTTTACTGGCTTTTCTATAGTTTAGCTTTTCGAATTTTCTTGCTTTCTATTGTTATTGCCATTTTCATAGATTATTATGATTTTATTTTATTTCTTTTGCTTCGTTCGAATTGTTGTCTTTTCTTTCTTCTTCACTGCAGCGCTTAACCATTTTCTTTCTTTCTTTCTTTTTTCTTTCTTTCTCTCTTTCTTTCTTTCTTTCTTTCTTTGTCTCTTTCTTTCTCTCTTTCTTTCTCTCTTTGTCTCTTTCTCTGTTTCTTTCTATGACTCTTTCTTTCTTTCTTTGTCTCATTCTTTCACTCTCTCTTTCTTTCTTTCTCTCTTTCTTTATTTATTTCTTTCTTTCTTTCTCTCTTTCTTTCTTTCTTTTAATTTTTTTCTCTCTTTCTTTCTTTCTTTCTTTCTTTCTTTGTCTCATTCTTTCTCTCTCTCTTTCTTTCCTTCTCTCTCTCTCTTTCTTTCTTTCTTTCTTTGTCTCATTTTTTATTTCTTTCTTTCTTTGTCTCTTTCTTTCTCTCTTTCTTTCTTTCTTTTTTCTTTCTTTCTCTCTTTCTTTCTCTCTTTCTTTATTTCTTTCTCTCTTTCTTTCTTTCTTTCTTTCTTTGTCTCTTTCTTTCTTTCTTTCTTGTGGATTCTTCACGCTTTATTCTCTTAAAAACTGTTTATTACAGTTTTTCATTTTCATACAATGTATCCTCCTTTCTTCATTCATCTCTTTCTTACATTTGTGTCCTTTTCTTGTCTTTTATTCTTTCTCCTAACCTCTCTCTCTCTCTCTCTCTCTCTCTCTCTCTCTCTCTCTCGGTCTATCTATCTATATATCTATGGATTGCGTATACATAGACATCAACAAAGTGTGGATTAAACATACACTGTCTACATCTAGAAACGCTCACTACCCAATTTTGAGCCTTTTTCTTCTACCATAAATATATAAATATAGCAAAATTACCAATAATAAATAAATATACATACATATATATATGTGTGTGTGTGTGCGTAAAGTAAGATCTGAATATGCGATGATTGTGAGACAAAGACGAATTCATACGATTATGAAGCCACTTTAAAAAAGAAAGAAAGAAAAGAAAAGAAAGAAAAGAAAAGAAAGAAAAGAAAAGAAAAAAAAGAAAAATCGTTAAAAAGACACTTCACGATTTCCGTATATTAATTTATTCATTGCAGAAGAAAATGTGTTTCCTCAAAAGCACACACTCATAAATACACACCTAAGAGTGAAAAAATACAAAAGTTTTGGACAAGATTTACACACGCTTTTTCTTCATGAAAATTGTGTGGACGAACGATTACAAAGAAATTAAATGTTTTCTTAATTTTGTAAAAGAAACATGCAATGTGGTTTATTTAACTCAATATTACGGATTTTTAGAACCTGTGATCTATAATATCACCAATAAAAGCGATGAGAAAAACAAATAGTTGGCCTCCAACCTTCTACAGTGAAATCTTTTCTATACATTTATGTTTAGAAAAGTGAAATCATAAGTTGCTTATCTTTAAATAAAAGTCATAGAACAATAGTCGGTAAAGCTAATGGCAAGTGGTGCCACCGTATCTTGACGTTATGGAGATACAAACACCGATATTAATTCTACTTGAAAATCTGCTGAATAAGTGTGCACATCTACGAGAATGTTCGTGGCAAGGCGCCGAGAATTCCATCGGGGCATGATGATAGATTCTAGAAAGATCGGAAATTCAATTTCTGTAAATGTGTGGACATTTGATATCGCTTGATCTACGGTGTCACTTCTGCACCGGTAAAATACCTGATAAAAAAATATTAATTCCCACCGTGATCAGCCATTGCATTGTCCACAAGCCTTTAATGAGCGGGACCAGAGTTGTCTGGTTGAAGTTGTTTGTGGTACTAGATAATCAACACTATATCAAATCATATCCACTTACAATACAGAAAATACTAGTTGCATATCCATTAAGTCAAATCAGCATTAATGAACATCCATGCCATATAGAACTAGAAAACCACTAATTGTTAGCGCTACGGCACCGGACACGTCACCTCACCTGGAGTCAATGGAACCGTTAATTGATTCTTGGAAGACAAGCAACTTGTTGTGTGGTCTGAAGGGCCACGCTTCCGGATGTTTAAGGCGGGCTTTTGGCTTCGTCTGTGGAGCTTACTCCACGAGACCTGCGCAGAAAATATCAACTTATCTCTTAAAAGACTTGATAGCATGTGCTTGTTTGCAACGAATAAAGTCCACATGTTTTCATGGTGAAATTGAAGCCAATCGTACAGAAAAGTAAGGTTTGAGACTATGAGAGAAAATTGGAGAATGTACATACGTGCGTTAAAACCGATATATAGGGATCAACTTTTGAGACAGCCGACAGAACGAGTACAAAGAAAACACGGCGAAATTACCAGAAATGATAAGATTCTGTAAACGGTTTGTTTTGTTCTGGGACTATCATTGTGTCACCATTTCCAGATTAAACAATTTTGTCATGTTTGTGTTGAGTTACTGTAACACTAACGAGATCATGGACGTCAGTTGCAAAGAAAACATTATGCAGAATGGTAGTTGGTGTAGAAGAGCAAACGACTTAGCTCGTGTGGCAAAGCGAGTACGTATATGTCTGGCGTGCAAAACGAGTGAAGGAAAGAAAAGGAAAAAGAAATATGGCCGCGCACAAAGGTCGATCAAGTTAAGAAAAGCTTAGTCTAATCGCTGGACACACATGCTGTCAAATCCGAGCAGCAGGTTGAAATCAAGCAATTTTTCGTCCACAACCAGAACCTCTACATTGATAGAGATTCGGTAGCTCACTTAAAGTTGAATATGTCTTACACCAGAGCACTTGAGGGTCCTTTCACTAACAGTGAGCACGTCCATTTCTTTCCTCTTCCAAGAGAGAAAAAGGGGTCTGCCTACGAGCGATCGAGAACAGTCTGTGTCATGCAAGGCTAATTTCCTTATTCCATTGATGCGTAGAACAGTTGCAGGTAGTGCATCCTTCGTATGGAGCTCGGGGAGTAGATTGGCGCTAAGGCCTATTCCCCTGGATTGTTTCCCGGGCAATTGCAGATTACATGCCCTACCGCATTTCGGTATGCGGTTATTTGCAGTCCTTTGCAAAATGATTGGGACCGTTGCAATGATAGCATGTTATGGATCCACGTGGATCCCCGGTAGGAAGCTTTCTCTCCTCAACCCGTGTGGTTCGCCCCTCTTTCCACTACTTCATCTCATAATTGCTCGCGCTCGAGTCAATAGCTGATCGATAGATAAATCATTCATAAGGGTCGAAGCGCGAAGGAGATGGTTAACTCGATCCGGTAACCCTCGCACATACCAGGCCATGGTCGCTCATTCCATCGAACAGGACAGAAAGTTTTCGTAACTCCGCCAGATAGACATCCACCGATTCTCCAGGACGGAGCCGTCGCTCATCAAATTGCTCATAAGCCAGAAAACCGTCCGTAGCAAAAGCTGTGCATAGTGAGGATTTTATCTGACTGAAATCCTCCTTTTTTCCTCCTCTCTGAGCTGCTGGTAGACAGCAAACGCACCAGTTATTCGCCTTAAAGAGACCACGTGTTCCGGACGTTTAACCTGGTACATCTTACAGACCAGCTCAGCCTTCGCACCCCATTTGACTACAGATAGTCCAGATGCAGCGCAGTCAAACTCGTCAAGCCCTCCATCATTTTTGCCGAAATAGCTTGTGTGAAACTGGTCCAAGAAATCTCTTTCCACCTGACAAAGTTTCTCTGTACAAGCAGAATAGCGCGTTCAAAAACGAGCTCACTATACCCTCTCGTGTCGTGATTTTTATGTCCAGCTGATCTCGCAAGAAAATTTGCATATGTTTAACCATTCTCGCGAATTCGCCTAGCTCCAAGACCGTGTCTTTCTTAAATTAAACTGTCGGAGAAGCCATATTTCTTTTTTTCTTTTCTGCGCTCATTTTGCAAGCCATCCATATTGGTCCTCGCTTTTGCCACACGAGGTAAGTCGTCTTCTCTTCTACAGTTAATTGTCCCATAATGATTTGCAGTGTGTGCACATGGAATGGATTTTATCTGCTGGCCCTTCTAAATACATCAAAATGTTTTCTGGCCGCTATATTGTACAGCATTTTGAGCATTTACTGTTGCAGTTTTTTGTCTATATAAGTAACTAGTGAATTAGCTCAAATGACTTGACTCACTTTATAGTCCACCAATAGAAGGTTAACCAATCAGAAGACGTAGAATATTCAATCCGTCGTGTATAAAGGCGGCCATTTTGTCTACTCTACCCGAATGTCCAGTCCAGCTTGTCAGACGAAGAGAAACAGAAGGACGAACTATGCTCTGCTACTTTTTACCAAAATATCCACTGCTAACCTGAACAACGCTTTCCTACTGTCTTCGAAATATTCACTGCTAACCTCTGGATTCTATACTCGAAGACGACCGTCATCATGAATAACATTTACACCTATTCATGGATTGCAGATCCCCCAATAAGAAAGGGCTTTTTCAGAATGATAATGCCCCGTGTTATCAGGTCCGTTGCTCAGAATTGATTTAATAAACCCCTCTAGAAATTTCCATCAGTTATTTTTAATCATTTTACTCTCAAACAAGGCAGTAAATACTATGAAAGTGGGTACTGAGTTTGAGAGAATATGAGAAAAGGAAAACAGTATTAAGGAAAGAGAACAATAAAAGAACAGGAATTAAAAAGACAAAAGATAACGATTCAAATTGCATTGAAATGTTTGAAGATCAAAGTTGACTGGAAAGCAAGAAACCGGTCGAGAGTTCCACAAGTCAGAAGTGCGACAGAATCAACTGTTACGTTATTAAAGTGTCACTGGTAGTCGTTGAAAGAATTTAAAGAAAAAGGTTCATGTAAGAACCCCGGATAGAATTGGAGCATTAGAAGCGTTGCATTGTGGAAATTATTGAAGTGAAAAGATTGTGATATGATGAGGTCGGGAAAATAATTATGAAGCATGATTTTCTTGACTGCGCAGAATATTATTAAAAAGCCAAAATATAAAACAATGGGCTTTCAAATTGGTTGTTTTAGGAAAATAAGATTTTATAGTTATTTGTTAAACGTGGATAAATTTAAAATTGTTTGGGTTTGATAAGAACAGCCGATAGTCGAAAGCAATATTTGGGTCATATTGGAAACGTAAACAATTGGTGATTGTTTTGAAAATCGACAAAAGAATTTGTCGATGCCAAGAAATTATTGTTTGGAGAAAGAGAAGGATTTCTAAAAGCAGAGTGAATTCTTTGCTGGAATAAATTTTTATATACAAAAATTAATTTGTAAACAATAATTGTGGAATACCAAAGGAATGTAAAAAGAAAAGTTATATTGTTTTAAATAGTTGATCCATTTCGAAAGTCAGTTGTTGCCAATCCAGGATCAAGGAAAATGAATATTAATGAATCTGGGGGCGTGGTCAGAGTTATGGGAGATACATATAAACAGTACGCTACTTGAAGTCTGAGAGGGATTTCGATTGAAGAGTTGGAGCAGTAACAGTTGAGCGAGAAGCAACCCGAAGGCGCTCGAGCCAGGCGAAGGGTTGCAAACGCCGGAAGTAGTCACGTGTCCTGCTATCGAAGAGTATTGCTGACATCGAGCAGAGAAGAGAATTGATGACGTGTAATTCCCAAACGACATAATTCCACGTTGTAGTGGCTAGCCTGCTTCAGGTTTAGAAACAGAAGATTCCGTGTCACTAGATTCAACGGGAAGGGTTAATTTTGTGCATCGACGAATATATAAAACCAAATGAGAATTAACCCATCGATTTATTATAATTTGCATTCCACAAGCGGAGGTATC